TCTGTGAAGTTTTGCGTTTCATACTTTTAGCATCAACTGCACTCTTAAAATTAACATAACTTGGATACATCAGATTTTTCCGATGTCCTCGAATGCAGCACACAGTACACAGCCGCCCACAGCTGAACACGGGGTTGAAGGCGGAAGTATTTGCTAAGGATTTGAATTTGACCTTAAAAAGCACAACAATACATGCTGGTTAAATGTGTGCTGCAGAAGGGTTATTGTGACTTATTTAATTTCTGAGAAGTTAATGTGTTCGTTGTCCCAATGGATCCTAATCTGTTCTTTTGGAAAAGCGAAGGACAGGTAACTGTACACACACGTTTTTTATATTCAGCTAGAACTGAAACCGGTGTTTACATATCATTTCAATCAATGTACTAGCACTTTAAATGGTTTGGCTTAGTTGAAGCTAATGTACCTACATGATTCTTGTTACTCTGTACCCTCCTGGTTGAATGCACATTGTAAGTCGCTTTGGATAAAAGCGTCTGCCAAATGAAATGTAATAATTTCATCCGAACGTGTTTTTAAATAAATGTTCCTTTCCTTTTTTCAGTCGTTCTTTAGTCGGTTCAAGATCTGGGTTAATATTCTTGATCCCACTTCCCTTCTTTCCTCTGATGTAAGTAGCTGTCACTACAGTGTTCATATACTGTGAGATGTGTGGAAGAATATAATGCTTAACAAGTGATGCTTCTCTCTGCAGGCCAAAATAAAGAAGGCTCATGGTCTGAAACTAGATGATTGGGTCAGATTCTTTTTTTTTTTAACTTGAATTAGCTATGGTCAGATGTATGAACCTGATTTATTAAAATCTGTTTGTTTCTTCCTGTAGGATGAAGAAGCAGTCACCCTATCACTTGTAAGTTTTGAAAGAAAAACATTATGTCTCTGAATGAATTAGAATTCAGTCATGTTTTCCACAATAAACCTCCAGTTCAACTTTATATGTCTTCAAACAGAACCTTTACTTAATTACGAATTTATTTTGTATGTGCTGCTTTTTAATGAGCGCTCTGTGTTTACAGTCATCTGTCCATGCTGACTCTGGTGATGTTCTTCCACTTATGCTCCGCCCTGCAGGTGTGGTAAATCTAAGCTTTGACACATAGTTTGCATCCATTATTAAATATGTTCGCATTTTTATCATGTAACAAGTATAACAACTGTATCACTAAAATAGATACTGATGCCCTTACTTCTGTTATTTTTTATAGCATTTTTGTCCGTATCAGCACCTCTGGTATGTTGGTCATCTAGTAAATATATATAAAATAAATGACAACTTAAATTGTTTTTTGAGATAAAGGTTGTTACATATACAAACAAACCTCTTTTTCAGGTGGTCGCCGGCTTTTTGCCTCACATCAATGTGAAATATGCTCTGCTCTGGCAGGTAAAAGCATATTCATCATATTAATAAAAGTGCAGTATATTACATGTGGATATTATAACACAGTTCATTCAAAAATGCATTCTTTCAGTTTTTCCTGCAGAGTTACCAAACTAGGTTCACCCTTGCAAACAGAAATACTTCATCAGAAAAGGTAACATACATGTACATTCTGTCCTATCACATTTTCAACGTGTTTTATGACAAACTGTACTTTGACATTTTGAATAATTTTTTTGTCATACTATATCATTACATTGTTCATGTTTTGTATGAAAAACTATACTTTACATTTTGTATTGTTTTTTTTAATGCATCTTTACATTTTTTAAATATTTTTTAAGATCTACTACTTTGACGTATTTTTGTTTTTTGTTTTATGGTAAATAGAGTGGTGCAGTGACGAGTCCTGAAACCCGGAAGTGAGTTAGCATTTTACCACTACCGGTTCCCTCGTCTCAGAGCCAATGGGATTTCTCCATAGGATTTTGGAAAATAGCTTGAAATAAGATCTGTGGTTGACACAAATTTAAGAGACGGATCACGTTTTGTTCTACGACATTAAATACATCAGCAGTGACCCCACTGGTGATTTTTGAAGAGTTTACGTGTCTGAAAAACGATGGTTGTTAAGAAGTGGCTGAATAGGACTACAGAAGTTGTTGAGGACGTTGTACGTCATTACGCCGAACTCGTAAACACTCCCGCTATGTTTTTTTGACCCTGTTCTGCTTGAAAGCAAGTACCTGCGCTTTTGCAAACTGTTTAAAGGGCCCATGTCATGCTTTTCCGGTTATTACCCGTCCCCTTGTGTGTTATGAAGGTTTTTATGCATGTAAACGGTGTGCAGAGTCACAAACCCTCAAAGTACACCCTGTAGCGAGTAAAACTCTAACACAGAAAATACCTCCCCAAAACGCCTCGTTGGAGATACGTCATTGTCCATTTGATTCTTCCATTTCATTCCGGGTACGGCATGATGTCAAGCCGTACCCGGAACGAAATGGACCAATCCGTGGAGCCGTTACGTTACGTCCGCGGAGCTGTTACGTTAAGCCCCCGCTGATTGGTCCAAATTGACCAATCCACGGACTTCCTCACACACACATCTGTGTGCAGGGAGGCGAAATTCTCTCTGCAGACCCATTCTCACAGCGTTTATTAACCTTTTTCTTACTCAATATCAAGCCACGCTTATTGTTTTTACTTCGGCTGTGAGTTTGTGTGTGCTCAGGATGAGTTTGGCTGTGTTTGGCTGTGTATCGCTAACAAGGAAACAACACCTCCACGGAGCTCAGCGCGATTCACAACGTCCCGACCAATCAGAGCACACTGTGCTCACAGGGAGGGTGGGGGCTGGAGCTATTGGAGCTACAACGAGCCGTTAAAGGCAGAGAGTGAAATTCAGTGAACACAAGTAGTTTACAGAGATGCTGTATGAGAAACCAATGTGAGTTTGGAAAATTGCACAATATAAATCTATTCTAGTAGACCTCAACAATGGAATTATGATCAGTGGAAATGGCCATGACATGGGACCTTTAAACAAAAGCTTTTACAATTTTGAATCTGTATTTTTGAATATCGATCTTAAGTTGGCGTGACGTTGAAGTCGTACGACCCTGCTGTAGTTCGTTTATAGCATAACGTTAGCATTTTGCTTCTGGCGATTAGATTTATGATTAGAAAATTATAAAAGTAGGGTAGACATGTGGATATTATCCGGCTGAACAAAACGTGCATTTATCAAACAGGTTTGTTTTCCACAGACCTTATTTCGAGCTATTTTACAAAATCCTATGGAGAAATCCCATTGCTTTTTTGTCGAGGGAACCCCGGCGCAGCTTATTTCCGGGTAAATACGTCATCCCTGCACCACTCTATTGTCTTGCAAGATAATGTTATGATATACCATGCTCTGAATTTGTTACAATGTACTACGATATCACATTTTTATGACCTATTATACTTTGACATCTTAAACATATTTGTATTATGTGCCATAATATAGGAAATGTTCTGTATGGCATACTATACTATCACATTTTTATGGCATACCATATTATGACTTATTATTTTGTTATGCCATACTATATTATAACATCTGTAACATGTGGCATACTAAATTAATTAGATGTTTGGCATACTATACTATTACTTTTTTATTATGTTTTTGAAAGGTGTACTATACCTTTTGCTATGACATACTAGGATTTTAATATTCTTTGAATGCCTTAATATACTTTGACTTTTAATGACATTTCTCTGGCATTAGTGCATATTAAGCTTCCAGTCCTCGCTCTGTTCCTGCTCCTCTTCATCTTTATCTCTCCCCAGCAGAGTAAGAAGCTGTCTTCGAAGCAGCTTCTGTTGAGCGCTGGAACCGTTTGCTATGCAACATGTGCAGGGGTGTGTATAACCTGATTGTAACAATGGCAACTGTGCCATGTTTATTATGATGTGTCGAGTAAACTTTAGAAAATGCTGCTTTTTAAAACCTTTTTTTGTTTCAGTCCCTTCCTCAAATTATGATTTATAAACTTGGTGTAAGTAGTGAAGTAATCAAGGCTGTCTTAAGGACCATGCTACCAATCCCTCTCTCAGGTAAGTATCTATGAAATATAAATACTGTTCCATAAATCTGAATACTTTATTTTGCATGTCAGGTAGTATATGCGTAAATTCCCCCCAAAGTAGACAAAAAGTACTTCATCATTTTCATTTCCATTTAATTGTGGATCCAGTATTAGCAGGTAGGACTTTTTAAACTAACATGTGTGTGTACCTCTCTCCAGCTGCTGTGGCCTTCGTCAGTGTGTACACTGTCAGAAGTGAAGAGTCACAAACTGGGATCCAAGTGTTTGATTCCAATGGAAATCTGGTCGGCCTTTCTAAAGCAGCGGGACAAAAGGTTAACAAAAGAAGAGCAAAAGGACAGAAATACACATTCCTTTCCTTTTGAAACATAGTTCAATTGTTCTTTATGTCCAGGCTGTGAAGGAGACTGCACTGTCAAGAGCGGCGCTGTTCGGTACAAGCGCTGCTGTCCCTTCCCTCCTGATAACACTCTTATGGAGGTCAGTCACGTTTACAATAAGTTACATTTACCTGGTCGGACGGTCAGATTTAACCAAATAACTTGTCCTTTTTTAGAACAAGAGTGATCCAGAAGAGCTCTGTGCTGATCGCTCCTCTCCGTTACATGAGTATTGTGATGGGTTTTGGCTTGATGATCCCCGTCTCGTTCAGTCTCTTTCCACAGCTGGGCACGGTGAGATTCAGATCCTCCTGTACTGAAATGGTTTCCTTGTGATGAACTCAGCTGACGTTAGCCTTGTTTTACAGATAAAGAAGGACAACGTGGAGAAGAACCTGCAGGAGGCAGCTTGCGACGGACTGTTATACTACCATAGAGGACTCTGAGGACCTATAAATACACTAATCTACCAAAACACAGGTTGCTATTACTCGGTAGTATTATAATAAATGTCTTCTTTAGCATCATGCAGCTGAAAATGTACAACGCATGTAACACACTCAAAGATGCCCAATTGAAAAAATACAGTTTGAGACATTAAAACAGTCAAAACGCTTCTTTTTTTATATTAAATGTATTTATCTGGAATATTAATTGTATTATACATAGAAAATATTACATGAATTCATTAAAATACATTTATTTTCCAAAGTTAAATTAGCATTTATTGCACTGTGTCTGAGGCACAAAACCATCTTTTTGGCACTGTGCTTAAAAAAACATTCGCCTGTAAAACAAAAAAAAAAGAAAACCTGGACCTTAAGACACATGATTCAGTATAAATCAATATGGACATGGAAACACTAATATGTGATCAGCTGCATATTGATGAGGAACACCTTTTGATTAAAAGTTTTAAAAAAAGCCTTGTACATCACGATATGCTTGTCATTAGTAAAATACAAAATGTGAGTTAAAAAAATGATATAAACACACATTATGATCCGATAACCACAAATGTAGTTTCTATCAATAAGCTCTTTAATATTAATAATAACTGCATTTCAGCTCCTGCGTATTTATATCTATATCTCTTTACAACGTTTGCACAATATTCCCATAAAGGAAACAAAAAGGTGATGTATGTACGTGCCGCTTTGCACTGTGGGAGCTCAGATTATTAGATGTACCAGCTGAAAAGTACCAGTTTATTTTCCTCCGTTTCACACAGTTAGAGAAAAACACTGTAGATCCTTATTGTCCTTAACTACTGATTTCAAAAACAAGGCTAAAGTTATTTCATATTTGTATGTCATCAAATCCCATGAAAACACCTAAATCAACAGTCGGTGTCCAACTTACTTTTTTTGGCACTTAGTTCCAAGCCCACTGATACATGCAGCAAAACTAATGTATTCTTGAATTTATAAAATAAAAGGCTATTTCCTTAAACAGCTGGGCAGTGTAAATGTTAACAACAGATACCTCAAATAGGATTAGATTGTGCACTTTTTGGGACTATTTTTTTGCTGTGGATGAATACACATTTGGTGCAGTAGTGAGTATTATAGTCAGCAGTTTAGGATTCAAGTCATGGTTGTTTTTGGTCTTTTCAAGGGATTTGTTGGCAATCAAAAATATATAAACATTTATTTATTGGTACAAGTAAAGATCTGAGTCATGTGACACTTTCCTACCTCACATGAAGATAACTGTGAGAAAGTGTCTTCTGTTCACTCTCATAAGAAGAGAGTGCGCACAAGCCTTTAAGACCACAGGAGATGTCCCGACATATTGAGAACAGCAGAGCCAGAGTCCATGCTGTAGACGGTAACATCATCCTGCAGCAAGGAGTCTGAAAAATAAAAAACTATATCCGTAAGAGCTGCTCGGCAGCTGCCAAATGAAAGAGGAAGTTCTCTGTGGCCGGGGGGAAATGATGCAGCTTTAAACTTTCCAACGTGATTTTAGAGTCTTCACACTGATCAGCCAGGGCCGCCAAGTTAGCCAGGATCTCTTTAGTCTTGACAGAAATATCCTGTGAATTAATGAGTGGGTGTCAGATTCAGGACGTTAATTCTTGATTTCAGACGTGTGTTCTGAGGGAATCTCACCTTGATGACCTGACTGTCTGACCTCTCAGTATCCTCCGCAGACTGCACGATGAGAAGTCCCACGTCTTTGTGCAACTTCCCCATAGCCATGGCCTCTGTGGGGGGGGGGGAGACTTACACATCAGTCTGAAGGAAATGCTGTCCTGCTCTCTGTAGAATCAAAGGGCTCTTAAAAACATACTGCTTTCTCTTTGAACATACCTTTGGCACTCTGGGATACTGTGATGACGCTGTCCGGGAGGTTCACATAAACATCAAACAAGTCCGATCTGTTGCTCACTTCTGGATCTACAAACCCCGCTACATATCCTGCGGAGAAACATATTGGTGGGTGAATAATTCATTTCCCCAGCTTGAGATCTCAGAGCAGATGGTGGTTTATCATCAACAGAGAGGAGGAGAACTGAGAGTAAATAAAGAATCCTCACCCGGGCATTTCTTCAGATCCTCTAGTTCAGTATCAGTCAGGTGAACGTACGGGTGGAGGATGGACCAGTCCTTCCTGTGCCAGGTCAGAGTGGGCAGGACTCTGAGGGGACACACAGAAAGAGTTGCACACAGAGGAAAATACTCACCTCTACAAATACAAATGTCTAGCTAAATAATTGGAAAAGGGATGCCAATATCACTGAGATAACCCATTTCACATCTTTGTTCATGACATACAGTCTATGCGCACCTGAGGATAACAAGACTTAATGTTTTGAGCAAAGATGGATCATTTAATTTTCCATAGCTCTTTTTCTAACCAAATCTAACTGATCAAACTGTTATCACAGTAATAGTTATGACTCATTTGGGTTGTCTTCTTAGATGCAGCACTTGTTGAATAATTGCAATCAACTGGGCTTTCTATTATCTGCAAGACTTTTAATATTAGAATTATACATATTTGATTCTGTAATTCATCTGCCCGATTTATATTGCCATCCTTAATTTTGAATTTGAGTCTAAATCGCACCTTGTAAACTCCAGCAAGGCTTCAATCCGAGGGTGATGGACAACGATCCTCTTCTTCAGCATGAGAGCCGTGTACAGGATGATCGTCTCCAGGCCAAACTGAGACACCACGTCTAGAGACAAAGAGAGAACGCAGACATGAAGTGCACTGGATGACCTGCTTTTACTCCTTAGGAATCCAAAAATGGACACTGACAATGTTTTAAAACAGCTGTCTGTAAGATCAGGTGACAGATCATGTGACACTTACAGTAAATTGCTTTGTTCATCTTTTTTGTAGATAATAATTGGTAGATAATATTTTGGTGGCTTCTTAGCAAATCTGCTGCATATGCACACACCACTTTTCAGTTGTTTTACTAGAGTTTTTGAAAACTACCTTTTTCATTTCACCTCACCAATTTTTGACAGTTTTGGTTGGATACATTACATAAAAAGCAGATAAAAAAACATCTTGATTCCAGGTTGTATTGCAGCAAAATAGTGAAAATAATGTGAATTATTTAGCAGGGGAATGTACTACAGTGGCATGAACAACGTATTAGTGGGACTTGTTTATTTTTATTTCTGCATGAAAGTTTAACAATCACAAAAGGATCCCAACATACTGGTTAGTGTTCCTCTTGAGAGACTGAGGTGTCTTACCTTTGACTGAACCAGCCAAGAAGGCTTTCCGAATATCGTAGTCCTTTATTAGAAACGAGCCGTTTTCATCACTCTGGCAAATTCCTTTGGTGAGGACGGTGACGTAAGCCTCCATCATCTTCACTGGGCTGCCATGTTTGATGTACATCCTGGAGAATACACAGTAACACATCCTTCAAATTAAAAACCCTCTTGAAATAAAAGTGTAACAACAGTGTTATCTGAGCTGAACACTGTACCTGCAGAGGATTCTACTGAGAGCAGCATACTTCTCAGGGTTGAAGTCTTTTGCCGTAACAACTATTGAAAAATGAGTGACCTTGAAGGGAGAAAAAAAGAGACAAACAATAAACTATAGAAAGATAGAAAAGTAACTCATGTTCCTTGATGGAGATTCTAGTAGCAGCTGACTCTCTGGACAGTCGAGTGTACCTTGTTTAGCGCTGTGGGTTCCTGCACCTCCACAGTGCTGATGTAGAACCAGGTGCGACAGAACTGCCCGAACACAAAGGTGTGGAAGTCCCGGCTGTCCTGAGTCAGACAGCACTTGCTGAGCAGGACTTGCCTCAGGTCTGAGCTCACAGAGGGATAGCACCACACCCACAGAGTGTCTCCGTTCACATCTTTCTCTGGGCAGAGGGAAAGAAAACCAAATAAAACATCATATACTAATGTCATAAAAAATAGATAGCCAGTAAAGAGAAAGTTACTTTTTTAAATAGGGTTGTATGAATAAGTCCATAGTCAGTGTATACCTACAGTAGATGACTGTTGGCATGCACACACAGGAGTACTAGCATTGAAGCTAAGCAATATCCTGCTGTGAATGAGGGCAGCAACATATTTAAGCCACCTACAATTAGGGCCACCTTAAAAAGTTAAAATCCCTTTAGTGTATGCCATATTAAGAATATTTTCACTGTTTACCTTTTCAACAGTGAGCCTTTTCTGACTGAGACCTTATGCTGTTAAATCCATGTATGCTCTCTTCACAGCCACCATTGACCAAAACAGTTACTTTACCTGGCCGAACATGGGAGTTGCTGGCTGCCTCGATTGGTTAGTTTTGCTTTCCTCAAAGTCACAGAATAACACAAACAAACAAATCAATCAAGGAATCGGTGGACCAACAACTTTAGTTATCAACGTACAACTAATGTTTTGTTTAATGTATGTGTTTGGTGGCTTTGAAGAAGACAGATAACTACTTCAGATCCCTGTCGAAAGTTGTGTCTGACCTAAAGATTAAAAGACTAAAGAAATGTTTCTTAATATAGCGCACACTAAAACTGATGTTTTAGGTGGCCTTCCTTTTAGTTTGCTAAAATATATTTTGCTGTTGCCAATTTCTAAAGCACTACACTGCTTTCCTTCCATGCTGGTGCTCCTGCCTACCAAACTGGGGGGCATTGAGCTCCATCGACTGCAGTAATACACTGATAAGTCACTGACACAATCCGAACTATCCCTTTAACATACTGTCATGCCAGGCAGAGCTCCCTGGGAGCAAATCGTTATCACATGGGGCTCCGTGTTATGGGATGCGTTTAGGAACTCATTGACCCTGTATACTGCCTGACATGCAGGATCAATTAACCAATGAGGGACATGCAGGCCTGCTGATGACAGTTTTGGGTCACACTGATGTCATGTGATTCTCCTGCACGTAATGAGGCGCGAGCTACACTCGGAATCCTAACAAGAGACGATTGTTGAAATGAGACTTACCGATTAATCCAACGCTTAACATAAGCTGTGTTTCAGTTGCTGCCATATTCCATACCTAAAGGAGTTGAAAAGCACAAGTTAAATGAAGGGAAAACACCAACAATCCCCTTATGCACGAACTAGTGTCACAGTGAAGTACCTTGAGAGCTCCTGCTACTTCCGAAAAGCACAATGCTATGCAGGACAGATGTATTAGGACAGTAAAAGTGTTGTCAGTGGCCTGGGTGTGATTTCTGCTGTTAACCGTCACGTCAACAGACTTTCCTCTCTGTGCGACTTCTCTTCCTACTTCCGGGAAAGGAGGATTGTGCAGGAGGAGGAGACACGGTGCTGACAGCCAATCACAGCTGCCGAGACTTTCGCTGTACTGGTGTGTTCAAGGTTGCTGAAATTATTCGACTTTTTCTCAATTGAGCAATTTCTCATGGTATAAAGAGCTCTACATAACAGCAATATAATCAAATACATAAAATAATTCTGAAATACACTAAACTCAGTTTTAATTTACTGTCCATAGCAAGTCCATAAACAATGACATTTTGATAGATGTTTTGAATTTGAAGCAAGTCATTAAGCCATAATGCTTCAGAATACATTGTTAATTGATCAGCATCAGTATCATCACCAACTGCACAATTATTGGTTTTAAATAAAAAATAATTGTAGTAACAATTCACTGCAGAGTGCAGACACATAATACAGCTACTACTAACAACTAAGTGAGTCACCAACCAAATACCTTTTGGCATCCAGTCCTTGTAATACAATGGTTTACATATTCTAAAATGAAACAACTATATCCTATGTATCAAAATCCTTGTGTATGAAAATGAATGATTATCGTCTAAACTTCTGACCTGGATCAGTCAAACTTTGTACATCAGCTCTGTAATATAACCTGATTGTCATAAAATATAAATGTTGATGTTGATATTGTTTTAAGAACTCATCATATGAATGACACAGGATATCCTTAATCTCTATCGGTTGATACTGAGTCTAGTTTGCAGTGAAGGCTACATAATTGGATATAATCGACATGTAACCCGGGTTACCTGAACACACCACCGGGCGAGCGCATACGGGAACTTTATACACCCAGGGTTGCCAGGTTTGCTGAAACCGCTCTTGCATTGGTTTTGGTTAAAATTAAGGCTATTAAAAATAGATTATTTAGGATTAGGCAATTCCGTACACTTCATGGTATTTCGTTATATCTTATTTCAAACACTTTATTTAGCTGATACTTTTTTTTAAAGTATCAACTAAATAACCCATGGACACTACCAGTGAGGTAGAAGTTATGTGGGTTAGGGTTAGGGTTAGACAACACAATTAATAATATTTGGTCAAAATACAGAAAAAACACATAATCAGGACAATAAATGCTGAAACCACAACATTTTAACTCAAACACAAATGCCACAGAAAGTCAGTGGCTGTTAATAACAGTTTTTAACCATGAAGTCTATAAAAGATGTGCCTAATGATTAAATCTGCACAAAATAAGTTGAAGAGATAGTTTTTTTTACAAACAGACTGTGATTAGTTTACAAAGTTTACATATATGAATATTAAGATGTAAACACCCTGAGAATACGGATGGATTAAACCTTAATATCTAATAATTGTTCGCACTCAGTCCCTTCACGTGTAAGAGGGATAGTGCATGACTGCTCTGGCAACCCTAGCAAGGCCGCTCACGAGGCTCTTCCTTTCTCAGCCAGCACCGTAGCAGCGGGTGAGTGCGTGGCGTGGATGGACTGGTGAAATTTGTCAAAATTCACTCTACTCAGCCAATTTGAGTCTCACTAGAACGCCGCAAACATGCCGGCGTATTTTCAAAGGCCGGAGAATGCTCTGAAACGAGCGAACGGTAAGTGGAAAGACAACATCATGTTGTTCAAATGTCAGACATTCATGCTAACAAGCTAACGGTAGCTAGCCTTCGTCACTGATGCTCCGCTAGTTAGCCTCGCATGCTAGTAAGGCGGGTAAGCCATATGTGTTCACGGCTAACCGGCTCTGCGATGTTTGTTGTACTTACAATTGATTGCGGCAGTGACACAATACATATCAGTAGTTAGGTGGTCATCAGATGACAGTTAACACTCGTGTCAGCTTTAACACTGTTTTTACAATGCCTCAGCTGTTGGTGCTTTTTGTTCTTGTAGCTTTGATGCTAATGTCACGTTCACCAAGCACCATGGGCCTAACAATGTCAGGCTGATTTAGCTAACCACGGTAATAGAGCTAATGCGAAAATCCTGTGGTTTAGTGGTTATACTATGTTTTGAATGGTTATTAATGACATGTTATGAAGCTAATGTTGGTCTATTTCTGGATGTGTTTACACAGAGTTTCTTGAGGTTGACAAGAAGCAGCCAGCTTTGGATGTTTTGTACGATGTCATCAAGAGCAAGAAACATCGAACATGGCAGAAGATCCACGAGCCCATCATGCTCAAATACCTGGAGCTCTGCGTGGATCTTCGCAAGAGCCACCTGGCCAAGGAGGGTCTCTACCAGTACAAGAACATCTGCCAGCAGGTGTGTGAAATGTGTTATGTTTGCACAGATGGGGTAGTTGCTTTTGTCAGACTTTTTGGAAATTAAAGTGGAACATCTTGCTTTCAGGTGAACATCAAATCTCTGGAGGATGTGGTTAGGGCTTACCTGAAGCTGGCGGAGGAGAAGACTGAGACCGCTAAGGGGGAGTCCCAGCAGATGGTCCTGGATATTGAGGATCTGGACAACATCCAGACTCCTGAAAGGTGAGGATGATCAAATGCAGAATATGTTTCGGTGAAGCATAAAGGGGCTTTAATATCAATAGTTGGATATCGTTTAATTTACAGATAGAAAAAACTGAATCTAAACGTATAGTTTTGTCCGATGATTGTGTTATACAGTTTACTGGTTTCACTTTTAACACTAAGCTTGTTGTCACTTCAGTGTTCTCCTGAGTGCTGTGAGTGGAGAGGACACTCAGGATCGTACCGATCGCCTGCTGCTCACTCCTTGGGTGAAGTTCTTGTGGGAGTCCTACCGCCAGTGCTTGGACCTGCTGAGGAACAACTCCAAGGTGGAGCGCCTGTACCATGACATCGCCCAGCAAGGTATTGACACACATGGAATACTTTTTATTAAGGATGTTTTGTTTTTATTACATTTTCTATTGTCTAAATTGCTACCATATGTACAAATGATAACCTATGTACAAAAAATGGCATCAGCACCTATTTTTAAATAAAAAACAGTTTCTCATACATCGAGTAAAATGATTTAAATCAAAACCACTAATTCAATAGGTTTCATTATAAAAATAAACATTTTAATATTTCATGTGAAAACTGCTTTTATCTATATGGTTTTAATAAGATTATACCAAGTTATGAATATATTCAAATGTACTCAAAAAGAAAATGATCAAATAGAAATTCAGCCATACATTAATGTATGTAATGTTACACAACTAAATGCTGATAATAACTGGTAATCTTTTTTGCAGCATTCAAGTTCTGCCTGCAGTACACCCGTAAAGCAGAATTTCGCAAGCTGTGTGACAATCTGCGTATGCATCTGGGTCAGATCCAGCGCCACCACAACCAGAGCACGGCCATCAACCTGAACAACCCGGAGAGTCAGTCCATGCACCTGGAGACTCGCCTGGTGCAGCTGGACAGCGCCATCAGCATGGAGCTCTGGCAGGTCTGTACACCATACACTGATTTTGTCTCAAGGGATTAATACAACTTATAATATAAAGTGTATGCTCTGTATGAAAACCAAAAGGCAGTATAGTAAATACATGTCTTCCAGTGTATTGAAAAATGTGACATACTCAAAGTGAAGCATTTATAACAATGTAGTACTGTTTGTCTTTTTCCAGGAAGCATTCAAGGCTGTTGAAGACATCCATGGCCTGTTTGCCCTTTCCAAGAAGCCTCCCAAGCCCCAGTTGATGGCCAACTACTACAACAAGGTGTCGACTGTGTTCTGGAAATCTGGAAACGCTCTCTTCCACGCCTGCACCCTCCACCGGCTCTATCACCTCTCAAGGGAGATGCGTAAGAATCTGACCCAAGATGAGATGCAGAGGTATTTTATTTACTATCCGTGTACATCTTTTGCTTTTGGTAGTGAACAAATGGTTAATGATGCTTACTTTGGATCTTCAGGATGTCCACCAGAGTCCTTCTGGCCACGCTGTCTATCCCCATCACCCCCGAGCGCACAGACATTGCTCGGCTGCTGGACATGGATGGCATCATTGTTGAAAAACAACGCCGGCTGGCCACCCTCCTGGGCCTGCAGTCTCCACCAACCCGGCAGAGTCTCATCAATGACATGGTACAGCATCTGCATATGAAAGCTTTGTTATGTATTCTAGGTTTCAACAGTGTTCCTCAAACCTTTTTTAGTAGGTACAAACAAAACTCTTAATTGTTTGCTTTTTGTGATGAGTAAAATGGTTTGAAATGTGTCTTTAACCTGATCTTGTAAGGCTGTTAGTACATATTGCTAATACGTTTTTATTCTAATGTTTTTATTCTAGGTGAGATTTAACTTGCTGCAGTATGTTGTACCCGAAGTGAAAGAACTGTACAACTGGCTCGAGGTAGACTTTCACCCTCTGAAGCTGAGCGGACGAATGACCAAGGTAAACATCTTGCAACAACCAGCTTTATAATACGGACATTATACAATCCATTTTTGTCATTTTAGTTGCAGTTCATTTACAAAACTTTGGATGAATTGATTGTAGTTGGTCATGTATCATTAAAGCACATGTTAACAAAGTTATTCTCCCACCAGGTGCTGAACTGGGTGAGAGACCAGTCTGAGAAGGAGTCTGACCTGCAGCACTATGTCCCTCACCTGCAGGGTAATACCATCCTGAGGCTCCTGCAACAGGTAATTCACTTCAGTCTTTTCATTCCACTGGAATGCTCTCCTTAATCCCTTCTTAAAATATAATAGCTGAATCCCTCAAATTTGTTCTCCATTGGTTTTATTAGGTTGCACAGATCTATCAAAGCATCGAGTTCACCCGCCTGGCCTCATTGGTTCCCTTTGTGGATGCCTTCCAGCTGGAGCGCTCCATTGTGGATGCTGCCCGCCACTGTGATCTGCAGGTAAGGTCAACCCAAGGAGAGATCCATAAACTACTGATCAACCTATACAAATTGTATAACAGTTGAGTGTGTTTTGATTTTTACTGTTTTGAACAATTCATCAAATATTTGCTGTTCCCTGTAGGTCCGTATAGACCACACCTCTCGAAATCTGAGCTTTGGCTCCGACCTGAACTACTCGACCAAAGAAGACGCCCCTGTCGGTCCATTCCTGCAGAACATGCCATCAGCGCAGATAAGAAA